CCCCCCGGGCCCCGGGCCCCCAGCCCCCGGCACAGGGTTTCTCACCCTCTTTCACAACCCACCCAAACGTACTTCGTAAGCCAGTGACACCGCCCATTCTGCCCAATCTTTAGTGGGCTCCTAGGCGTGTGAGCAGATGCTGCCCTCAATTTTCCTTGTTATATACGACCTCCCTGTGTTCTTGTAAGGGTGGCTTCCCAAATTTTATTCTCAAACTGCTCAACTCCCAGGTGAAATCTCAGCCTAAGGAGGGCCCTAGATTCCAGGACCACGGCCTTAGGAATGCTGGGAATCCTATCCTTCCTGAGTAGCCAGGCCTGGACACCCACACACCATGATGGCGCCAGCAAAGCAGCCCAGCCTGAGCTCTGACTCAGGGGTGTGACTTCTGCTACAGGTAAACAGGACATAGTACTCACAGCCCACATTCCCTCACGGTGCCACACCCATCCCCCAGCCGCAGCCTCACCCTCCTCTCCTGGACCTGCGGTCCAGATTCTGTTGTGGAGGTTCATAGCACGGACTCTAGAGCCCGCTTACCAGTTGTGACACTTTGAGCAAGTTACTTAACTTCTCTGGGACTTGGTTTCCTCATCTGTAACATGTGGATGATAATAGGATTGAATCAGTTTATATACTGATTCTAAGGTGCTTAGAATGATACTTGGCACACAGTAAACACACCACATATTAGCTGTTGTTAGTATCCTGTGACCCAGCCTATGTTGTGTTTACTTTAACTTCTTGGCACCCAACGTTTCCAACACCCATTTCTTTTCTTTTTTTTTTAAAACCCTGTTGTTTTCACCTTAGTAACACCCACTCAACCTTCAGCTCTCCATGCAGCCTCACTGTGTGAAATACCCACTGTAGACTCTGGTAACACCACGTGCTTTCCTCTGGACTTTGGACAACCAAAGTTTGTGTGTGTTTGGGGGTTACTTGTTACTTCTTTGCCTTTCCAATCTGTAAACTTCACAAAGGTTGTTCTGAGTCTGGTTTTGTTCACCACTGTGTCCCTGTGCTGTACCATAGTAGGACTCAATAGATAAATACTTGTTAAATTAATGAACGAGGTGAGTGATAAATATGGTAAACAAGGGAATTCCCTGGCTGTCCAGTGGTTAGGACTAGTTCCCTGCCAGGGGGAACTAAAATCCTGCAAGCCATGCAGCACGGCCAATAATAATAATAATAATAAATTATATATATATATATATATATATATGTATATATGGTAAACGAGGTATGACAATAAAGGAAGATTGCTTACAAGGGGTTTCTAACTGCCTCTAAAGGTAATTCTAAGAGGACTTTTTAAAATCTTTTGAGCAATGGGGTAGGCATCATTAAAATAAGTGCACAACCCTCCAAGGTAACTGTTTAAGGAGAGTACTATTTTGAATTTATAAATTCTTGTATGTTTGTTACAGAATAACTAACAATAGTCACACATTTTTACCTCTTTGTTTCCTCCACAGTCTTCCAAAATGAGTGGGAGATGATAAGAGTGGATGTAAGTATTCATTAGTTGATGCGGTTGGTTGCTAATCCAGTAAATGGCATGCTGCTGACTTCTCTCTTTTGAAAATTGGTTTTATTCTGCTCTCCCAGCTTCGGGATCAAGGAAGGGTGAGGATGGGAAGAAGGGAGATGGTGAGGTTATATATATATATATATATATATATATATATATATATATATAATCTCCCGTTGCAGAGCACAGCTCCGGACACGCAGGCTCAGCGGCCATGGCTTACGAGCCTAGCCGCTCCGCGGCATGTGGGATCTTCCCGGACCGGGGCACGAACCTGTGTACCCTGCATCGGCAGGCGGACTCTCAACCACTGCGCCACCAGGGAAGCCCGGTGAGGTTATATTTTAAGGGAGGCAGAGCTCATCCTAC